CCCAATAATTTGGGGGTTACCAGAGTTGAAAGGCAGATGTAAGAGATATATTTGATGTTTACATGCTGTAGCATTTCTCTGCACCTTTCTCTGATGCTTACGACTTGCAGTTGGGTTATGGATGGCATAGACTGTTCACCTTGTATCAATTTGCATGGAAATGTCTCTACAGAAATTGTACCAGTTTAGCTTTACCAGGATTATAATTTTTATTTGATTGGTTATGCTTTAATATCTATGTGTATTATGGCATACCAATACAGAAGGGATCTGGAGCTGCATTGCTGTAAGACTCCTTTCATATCCCTGTAATGACACCCGTTTCTATAATGAGTAAAACAAAACCAGCCCTTCACAAAATAGACTGGTCTTTGACAGTTTCATGGAAGTAAGAGGCCTTTGTGTGCATTTCTGGTGTTCGTTCTTGGCGCTCCAGTGCCGTGATCTTGGATCACCACCTGCTGTCTGCTGAAAGAATTCACCCTATGTCGCGTTTGCTGAACCAGTTGCTCCTTATTGAGATGTCATCCACAGCTCCCACCCTTCTGCAAGGTATCTCTACGTGTGGTTACTTACCATTTCTCTGCTTAGCTTGGAGCTATAAAGTTTGTTAATTAAGTTAAACCTGTGTAAACTCCTAGAAATGTGCTCTCGTGTGGGATTTTTCACCAATTTAGCTAATTTTTTTTTTTAAAAAACAAAATGTGGGATGGGTTTGTACAGAGCTGTGTAGGCAAAACCCCGATTTAAGGAGGGAAGTTGGCATGTGCAGGGACGTGACTGGACCCTTGTAGGGCTGAGAATAAGGGCCCGCAAAAGGAGACCAGATGGGTATCCTGTATCCCTCTTGTGCCCTGAGGGCTTGGGTGCTGATGAATCAGATGTCAACATTTTGCAAGAGGGGAGCTGCTTTGAATTCCTACCTGATGTGGATGAGTGATTTCTGTGGGAGCAGAGCAACAGAATAAATAGAAAACAGAGGAATTGCTGGTTTTCTGTGAAATACGTAGGCTACCATATATTGTACTGAAGTCTCTTCCTTTTTTTAACGAGTGTGTTAAATACATTGAGTTCCAGTTGCACTGAACAGCCTTTCCCAGTTTGATGAGCGTGGGATGGCAAATAGCACGGTCGGTGCACGGCAGCACAAACTCATGGAGGGAATCAGTTAACCTGGAACTGCTGAAATTATTCCTGCAGCCAAGCGTCCCTCAAGCTCCCCTCCTGGAGACTGCCAGCCACTCTGCATCGTGGCTGAGAAAAGCGTGTCTCTGCTCCTGAACATTAGTTAAGATTTATTTCATGCCATCTCACAAGTTGAAGATGGCAATAGTTCTTGTGGGGACCTGTAGCTAGGCTTTCCTAGCGATGGCATCCTCGCATGTGTTTGGGGATGGTGACTACTCTTGGATGTATCCATCTCAGTATGCTGTTGCATTTGAGTTCAAGAGGATTTCATGAGCTAAAACAGGCAGGACTGGCAATGCAGTGAGACATGTTGCCAAGATTGGATAGACGAAATACTTTCAGTGGAGTCTCTCCTCCTACGTATGTACCTTCACCAGGAAGTTTGGGGTTTTCTCCATGTTCTTTGTACTTCCTGAGGAGTGGGCAAAGCAGTGCCTCTGACTGCAGGATTTCCCCTGCTGGGTTAGAAGTAGGGAAAGGAGTTCAGGTTCTATGTTTGAAGATAAGCGGGATTTTTTTTTTTTTTTTTTCTATGTTAGTTCTTGAAAATATGAAGTGTTGTGTAAATGTTGAAATTTGGTGGAATAACAGGAGAGGCAGAGTCTCCTATGGGTTTGCAGGGTATAAGTATGCCATGAAACCTGCAGAGATCTCATCAGGAATCCTTTTCTGTAGATACTGTTGGAAACAGGAAAAAAAAAAGTTATTCTAAAGCATCAAAGGAAATGAAAATTAAAAAAAAAAAAAATTAAGACTGGACACATGTATATAATCATATCAAGAGGAAAATAATTTGAAGTATAGATATTCCGTGGGATAATGAAACCTGGAGGAGCATAATGGTGATAGATCTACAGATAACCTGAGACATTAAATTAAGGATAAATTTGTAATAAAAGATATAATTTTTGCATGTCAGTGAGATGGGGGGGGGTGCGCGGGCAAAAGTGGCAGTGGTATTAAAAACATTTAATTCTGCACCAGAAATCCCTTATTTCAAAATCTTAGGGAGATCAGAGAGAAGTAGTAAAGTTACCAGGATATTTTGGCTTGTGAAGTGTGCTTAAGCTCAATAAATACGTATTATCAAAATGCCACAAGCAACAGAAGGGAGAGAAAGCATTTTTAATCTTTCAAGCATTTGTAGATAATTGAAGAAGGGAGAGAAAATATTTAAAAGGGTGAAATACATTTAAACTGGAAGGAACAGTATTAACTGAGGGGTAAAAACGTTGAAAATAAGATTATGTAAGGTTTATGGGCTGGCATTTTAAGTAGTGTAAGAGTGAGATTAAACAAAATGCTGGAGTATGTCCTTTGGGGAGCAGCCCTGCGCTGTTGAGAGGATGGCAGGAATAGGTTTTGTTTGTGGCTAATTAGCATTCTCTTCCTCCTATCGGGGGAAGGAATACCAGCTTGTAAATCTAGCTTGTTCTAAGAAAATTTGAAATAGTTTCTGTTACTGCATCTACCCTGGGGTTATCCTACCAATTTTTGAAATTTAAAAAAAAAAAAAAAAAAAATCGGTTTCATATTTAGCTCTTATTTTAAACACAAGAAACACACAGGCAATGTGGACTGTGTGGAAGCACACAGACAAATGGATATAATGAAATATTGTAAGTGAAAAAGCTTGAAAAGGAGGCAGTATGCGGATGGAGTAGAGCTGTCGTGACAGGGGGCAACTAGTCTGAGTGGGTGAGTGGCGGGGTTGCTGATACCTGGGTTGCAGTGGGATAGCCATCGCTCAGCTCCTCCTCCCTCTCATTTTATAAAATTTGCCCTGCAGGTTTTGATGGTGGTTTAGGTTGAGGCCAAAGCTCCTTACTTTGAAGCTGTGAATGGCAAAGGAGTGAGCAGAAGGGGAGGGTTGGTGGAGCTGACCTCCCCTTTGAGGGAACAACAACAGCCACCACCACCACTCTGTCCTGCTTTCCGAAAAGGCGCTGGGTGCGTGAAAAACCTCCGCAGAGCTGTCAGCACGCGACGCAGGGCTGCAGCGGCCCTGGGGAGTGTGTGCAAGGAACTGAGCGCTGGCCGTGGCTGGCGTGCTTGCCTGAATTTTTTTCTTTCTCAGATAAGGCTGCGGAGTTCTGTGTTTGTGCAGGCAGCGAGGCTTTGCAGCGGCTGGACTTTAGTTAATGAAACCGTCTGTCGTTCGGCGCGGGCCACGGCTGCAGCTCAGCTCCGCTAAGTGGTATTGAATGCCCTTCCCTCTCCTCCCCAGCTGCGGGGAGCGCATGGCCACGTGGCCCCCAGGGGAGGCAGACCAGATAGACTAATGTCACAGCAAATTTGGGATTCAGCCAGTGTCTGAATGACCCAGTGCTGGCTGGAGGTGCTCTGCATTTATCATTGTTTCCTTCGCCCGGAAGAGAAAACTGCAGGTAGGCTGATAAAGGGACTGAAAAGGTTTGTCCGGCTTCACTGGAGGTCCGTCAGCCTCTGCATGCTCTCTGCTGAAAGGCTGCTTGGTAATTCCCACTCCGCTTTTCCTATCCATAGGATAATGTCTGCTTCTCTTTTACGCCACTGATTTAAGCATGCTGGTGTCAGAATAGGCTCGAGCACCTCTGGGCTTTGTGGGGGAGGACCTAGGGCTGGAACAGCAGCCAAAATTTAAAATCAGGATTAGTCTGGTGACACACACATAAATCAAACAGCCCTCCTATCATAAATCTCTTCCATGGAATTTTTTTTTTTTTTTCCCTGCTGTGGCGGTGGAAGGAGTAGGAGCAGTACAGCACCCTGGGCTTCCCAGGGTTGGGTTTCAATGTCAAGGCTGTTCTCCTTCGTCCCAGGTGTCTGAATGCAGCTCCCTGCCTCCCCCTCAGTGAGACCCCTGCAGCGGCGGCAGGACTGCATGCTTTCATGTTTGCTTTGGGTGGTTTTCAGGCATGATGGGGTAGATTTTTTTACCAACTTTCGGGGACATCTTTTGCATGGTCAGCTGTCTGTTTCTGAGTCACCCGGTTGGTGTCAGCTACATCTAAGGCAGTGCTAAAAGCTGCTAAAAAGTACTGTCCTAGCACAGAGGCCTCTGTGGGATACCCTAAGATGAGGGAGGAGTGAGTAATTAATGCCTTGTGTGGTGGTAGTGATGCTCAGGACTGGGGAGAGAGTGAGCGTGCTCCAGGCTTGTGTTCTCAGCTCAGGTCCCACAGCTCTTCGGTGTCTCTGCAGAGTCAGCACAAAACAAATGGATGTTTCAGCAGCTGGTACTTGAGCACCCGTGCTCTGTACTCAGTGCTGCCGGAGCAAAAGAGGGGCTGCTGCATAGATCAGTTTTAAAATTAGTTTGACTACTTTTCTCCCACTGTAACACAACAGAGAAGAGCGTGCTCTGAACCACACGATATGCTTGCTTGTGAGCAGAGCCATGAGGACCAGACTGGAGGAGATGGACCCAGATAGGGTACTTCTAGGCATATTAAAAACCTCTGTTCTTCTGTCTGTGTTTCGTCCTCCGTTCCAATGTTTCAGTGTCTCTTCCCCCTTCGAAAATAATGCCTTACTGTGCATAAAGCCCTTGTGTGAGATTACAGGGGTTTGCAATTTGCAAGCCCCGTGATTTGGTCTCCATATGCCACCCAGTAGTGAGAAAGTTGCCCAGAAAAGATTAAGAAAACAGTGTCATGGCTCAGAGGAGAGCGGCATGCTCTTTTTGATAGAGAATATGATAGAAGACTCCCATATTGTGGTGGCTGTGGGTGGGGTAGTCACATAAACACGTGTGTGTATCATTTCTCAGACTGATGTTTTGATCTCTTTTCTGTAGTATAAAGCTGTTTCCTCCTTTTCCCTTTCTTCAGGGTAACCAGGAGCCAGCAGCAACTCCTGATGCAATGGTGCAGCCATTCACCACAATCCCATTTCCGCCACCCCCACAGAACGGGATTCCCGCAGAGTACGGGGTGCCACACACTCAGGACTATGCAGGCCAGACCAGCGAGCACAATCTGACACTCTACGGAAGCACGCAGCCGCACGGAGAGCAGAGCACGAACACGGCCAGCACGCAGAACGGATCTCTTGCAGTAAGTGCAGAGGGGGGTGCAGGGGCAGCAGAGCAGCACCGTGCTTTGGGAAGAAGCCGCCGTTGATTAGATTGCTGACTGTTTATTAAGAGTGTGCGGCAAAGCAGCGGTAGACTTGGAAAGGCAAGAATTACAAACAAAGCATAGCTTCTGGCCTTGCATTACGAGGTTTCCTGTCTTTCCCATTGTGCGTGTTCCTCTCATAAACAGGTGTCTGCAAAGAGCAGTAGTACTTGGGATCATGGTATTTTTACTATGGTGGCATTGTCCAAAGACAGTCCTTTACAAAAGTGTTAATTACCTTGTGTTAATCGGTGAATGATTCAAATGAATGTGATGGAGGCAAATTCTGGAAGGTTGACGGTACAAAGGATTAGGGTGAGCGCATGCGTTGTAGGTGTAATCCCAATGTGGTTATTTTTTCAGGAAACTAGCAGAGTAGAAAATACTTTTCTTTGACTTCCTGAAGATGGCAGGGAGCTTCAGGGGGCAAAGATAGGAGAGGACCTCTCAGGTACCGGACACTCAGTTGCCAGACAACTATTTTCACCTTACACGTTTTTGCTTTCTTCTTCACATGGCCTGGAACTGGCACTGGGCAGCATGCTGGCAGATTATCCCAGGAAAAGCTTTATCCACCCTTTAAGCCACTTGTTAAGACTTAACTTCCTAATAAAGAGCCTTATGGTGAGAGCATTTGGCGCTCAGGGGCAGACTTAATCTGTTAATGCTTTCAGTTTTACTTGTAGTTGGGTGTTTGGCTTGTAGAGGTTATTTTTCCCCCAGTAAGTGCTGAGTGAATTCAACGCCAATGGTTGGAAGAACTGATAGTGCCAACTCGAGAGTGCGTGGTTCCCGGCACGCGCCGCTTCTGCTCCTTCTCTGGTGGGCACTGGCTGCACGGATGACACCGCTGGTTATGGCTTTGACAAGATTATCTTTGAGTTCATCCTGAGAACGCGGCAACTTCATCATCTTGAAGAAGAAAAAGAGTACAAACCCCGTAAAAGCACAGTGCGTAAAAGGAACTTCACGTGCCTTACTCGGCAAACAGAGATGTAGATGAGAAAAGATCAGGCTGGAAATAAAACCTAGAGCAGTGTGCAGAAATGCAAATAGTCATTTTAGTATCAGATTGTCCGATGTTGTTCCAACCTGTAAGATCTGGGCTGCCCATCTCCAGCAAACAGCTACCTCGAGCACTGCTGGCTGGATGGGAGAGCTGCGAACAGGGCATAAGACAGGACAATGGCTTTTGCCATGTTTTTTTTTTCTGCTGTTCCCATCCTTGCCCAGAGCTTAAGGGCGTTTCTTTCAAGTGGAAATGATGCGAGCCTTGACCTTGGATGCAAGCTCTTGCCAACCCTCCTGCTCCTCTTCCATATTAGGAGCCATCTCTGTGGTGCTGCAGGGTCGAGCTCTGTGTTTTGTCAACTAGTGCCGGCTCTGAGGGGAGCCCACAGCGCGCGGGAAGGCCGGCTAGCCTGAGAGGAGGGACGAGGAGCCCATCTGGGCGAGGGTAGAAACGTTGCTGGGAGGCAGCGGTGTTGCCAGGAGGCTGTGGAGGGAGCCTGGCTGGCAGGGGTTATCTGAGAAACAGGCTGAATAACACGCAACGCTTGTACTGGCTGTTGGAAAGAGGTGGGCACGTCTGGTCTGACCATTTGACGTGGTTAAATATGTGTGAACTGAGTGTGCAGAGCTGGTCTCGCAGACCACAGCTACCTGGGAAAGGGTAAGGGTGCGGACGAGCGCTTTGCTGCGGCTGCTATGGCTGGGACTGATCAAACCCGGAGGATCCCAGCTGGTGGCACACGAAGAAATCCAGGGGGAGGGGGAAGGCGCCTCAGCTGAGGGTTTTGCACATGCCAGGCTTTCACGGGCACAGGGTCCTGGATCTTCTGAGTCCCTTTATCTTTCTGTCTAGGACTCCTTCCGTATGAAGCTATTTTGATTCTCTGAGCTGCTTTGGGATGTAATTGCTTGTAACTTTCTCCTTCTCAGAACACTGATTAATGTTGTAGGAACTCGAGGAAGGAAGAAGGCTCAGTAGTTACTCAAGCTAAAGCATGCTACTAAAATAGAGCAGAACGGGTTGGTTATTTCAGTTGAATGTCTACAGCTAACATCAAGCATCTTGTCCGTCACATACGAGGGTTATTACTTGTTTGACGTACGTGTTCAGTCCATGTGGACTAGACTGCTGTGCTTTTCCTTTCACCATTTTGTTGCCTTGCTCAAACAACAAAGCTAACTTTAACAGAGCAAAAAGTCATCGTGGGTGATGCATGATCCTTCCCTCCCATTACTGCGACTGACAAGCGCAGCTGCTGTCATGTGTGTGAAAGCGATACCCCAGACCGAACAGCTGGTGGATTTTTTAGCTGTTGACTTGAAGCCTGTGCTCCCATGGGATGATTCAGAAATTCCTTCACCCAGACAGATAAGGCCTCTCCTTGCTTTTAAGAACAAGGCCCGTACTTGGTTCAGTTGACAGGACAGAGCAAGATAGCAAAAGGTGTGCTCAGATAGCTTTCCTGCTTTTCTGGCTGGTAGCCTTTAGGATAATTGCAAAAGTAGCAGAGAATATGGGGTGACTTAAAGGTCCCTCACGGAAAGGGGAGTTTCATCTGGTCAGCAAGATGTTACGCAGCAGTGTAACGAGGTCCCTAACACCCTGGGTAGGAGCACCTTTTCTTAGAAACTTGACAGATTCTGGCAGGCAAGTCAGACACCATCTCTAATCTCAGATCATTCAGTCTGATTCAACAGACAGTGGTCTGGAAGCCTGAGGTCAAACGTCAGCAGTGAATGTAAGTAAAATAAACTTTGAGGATCAAAGTCCATGCCTTCCTACGTAGTCTAAGAGCCCTGAGCAAAGGGGAATGCCTGGTTGGTGTCATCAGCTGAGGACAAGCTTGGTTGTAGAGGTCTGAGTGTAGTGGAAAGCATTTAAAGCTCTCAAAGCAGGGGCATGGAAAACAAATTGGCACACTAGGTGGTATAATACAAACAGCTTAATATTTTGGAATCTTTATTTTAGGATCAAGCCTCATTTGTGGGGCTTTGTTTGTTGCCTGGCATGTGGGTCTCCTGATCTTCATCTCCAAGCATCTGTCCTTTCTCTTGATACTGTCCCAAAGCACAGCTGAAAGACCCAGATTAAAAATAGACTGAGGTACCAGACCATATTTGGCCTACTCAGTCTGCCTGTTGCAGGCTGCCTCTTAAGCCCTTGATGCTCTGCATTTCACTTTCTGTGGTGCTGGGTCACCTGGTTTCTTCCCCCTGCTTGGTTTACATTAGCGTGCTTACCCCTAATGGAGACAGCCAGCACAGATAGCTGCAAGAGGAGATGCTAATTAGGCTGCAGTACCTCTGGCAGCTGAGCTGATCTAAAGATTCACTGCTGTCAGAAAGGAGAGATCTGGCTCCAAGCGCAAACTCCCACTCCTGTTTACTGGCTCTGGCATTCCTTACGTGAGCCTCTTTAATTCACTGACCTGGCAGAAAGCTGTCCAATTCTTTTGCTGGGTTAATGAATTAGAGCAGCTCTTGCAGGGATCCAGCAAATGCTGTTGTTGCAAGGTACGCGTGTGGAGTGCATGGCCAGAAGCCGAGAGCAATTGTCAGCTCTTTGCATCTCCTGGTACTCTACCCATGGAGGGAAGATTAATCATCTGCTGAACTAAAAAAGGTTGCTTGATAGTAAACGCAATGCACTTAATACTGTGAGCTGATTATTCAACTCGTTTCTCTTGTTAATGTCAGAGGGAAGAATTTGTGTGTCTGTATAAATTATGGAATGCAGCTGGAGGTATAGAAGTAGAGGAATAAGTTTATGTAAATTACTTTGCATGAAAATGGCAGGTGCTGTCGCCTTGGTGTTAGGTTGTCGTGAACCAATATAAAGCATTATTTAATTACAGAGCATTGTGCCTCTGCTTCTTGATGTGCCATACTGAAACATCTTTAATTCATCTGCTATAACATGAAGGGATATTGACTTTCTGATTTCTTAAAGGAGACACATCGGTGGTGGGGGACCCCTACGTATCGAGTTCAGAAGCAAGATGGGAAGCTGCTCGGTCGTCTGGGTGTGCCCCATACATTTAGCAAGGGTTTGGAAAGAAGGGAGCCAGTGGCACCAAGGTTCCTCGACTGACTTCTGTAACACATGGATGATGTTATAATGATCACTTTCCCTCGGGTATTTCTTGCCTAGTCTGAGATTGCGGAATTTTTCTCTGTAATTATTTTTCATCACTTCAGTAATTAAAGCAATTGCTCATGTGTGGTATTTCAGGTGAAGAATATGTTTAATGAATATCCTCGCTTGTCTTCTGATACTGCTGAGCAGGTAGACATGAGGAAGAAGTAGCTTCAGATAAGTAGTTAGCTGCCAATTGTTTGGCCACCTCAGCTTGGAAATTGCTGTCTCGAGGCAGCAAACTGACATTTAACATCGGGAATTTGCTTTCAGTATGAGGCAGATTATTTTATTATTTTGAGTATGAGGCAGATTATTGTCAGCACTTGTAGACCTGTGTTTAGTGAGGCAGATTTAAAAATGATTTTGAGAGAGAAACAAATCAGCAAATGTCATTACGTTAGAGTATATAGCTGCGGTACTTCTGCATATCTCTCAAAGGTTATAGCAGATCTGGAAGTAGTACAGGGAAGGATAATAGTGATGATGAAAGGGATGTAGCAGGCTCTTTATGAGAAGAAATGAAATCTTCACTTACAAAAAGAACTGATACAAATGAAGGCATATGACAAGTACATAGAGTATTGAATGGTATGGGAAATAGAATGGGGAACTTTCCCATTTTCACTTACTAGAATACCCGCAGGAAATAATTGTGTGCCACGTATGGAAAAAACAGGCTTTTGTTTCTTATTTTTTTCCATATGATGAAGAATTTAGCATTGGAGCTTCTGTCCCTAGGATGCTTTGGAAGTTGAGACATCAACTGGCTCAGTTTGCTGGAGGCTGT